TTTCTTTTGGGGGTTTTTTTTTGGGGGGTTTTTTTAGGGATTTTGTTGGGGGTTTCTTTTTGTGTTTTTTTTTTGGGTGTTCGGGTTTTTTTCAGGGTTTTTTTTCAGGGTGTTTTTTGTGGTTTTTCTTTGGGTTTTTTTTGGGGTTTTGTTTTTGGATTTTTTTCGGGGGGGTTTTTTTCTAGGTTTTTAGGGGTTTCTTTTGGGTTTGTTTTAGGGGTTTTTTTTTTTTGGGTGGGTTTCTTTTGGGGGTTTTTCTGGGGTTTTTTTTCGGGTGTTTTTTGGGGGGGTTTCTTTTGGGGGTTTTTCTGGGGTTTTTTTTCGGGTGTTTTTTGGGGGGGTTTCTTTTGGGGGTTTTTCTGGGGTTTTTTTTCGGGTGTTTTTTGGGGGGGTTTCTTTTGGGGGTTTTTCTGGGGTTTTTTTTCGGGTGTTTTTTGGGGGGGTTTCTTTTGGGGGTTTTTCTGGGGTTTTTTTTCGGGTGTTTTTTGGGGGGGTTTCTTTTGGGGGTTTTTCTGGGGTTTTTTTTCGGGTGTTTTTTGGGGGGGTTTCTTTTGGGGGTTTTTCTGGGGTTTTTTTTCGGGTGTTTTTTGGGGGGGTTTCTTTTGGGGGTTTTTCTGGGGTTTTTTTTCGGGTGTTTTTTGGGGGGGTTTCTTTTGGGGGTTTTTCTGGGGTTTTTTTTCGGGTGTTTTTTGGGGGGGTTTCTTTTGGGGGTTTTTCTGGGGTTTTTTTTCGGGTGTTTTTTGGGGGGGTTTCTTTTGGGGGTTTTTCTGGGGTTTTTTTTCGGGTGTTTTTTGGGGGGGTTTCTTTTGGGGGTTTTTTTTGGGGGTTTTTTTTGGGGGTTTTTTTTTTGGGGTTTTTTTGGTGTTTTTTTTTTTGAGTTTTTTTTATGGGGTTGGGGGATTTCTTTTGGGGGGTTTTTTTTGTGTTTTTTTATGGGGGTTTTTTGGCGGTTTTTTTTGTGTGGTTTTTTATTGGGTGTTTTTTTTGGGAGTTTTTTTTTAGGTGTTTTTTTTTTTGGGGTTTTTTTCCGGGTGTTTTGTTGGGGTTTTTTTTGGGGATTTTTTTGGTTTTGTTTGGGGATTTTTTTTTGGGGATTTTTTTG